ATTACAACAACAGCAGCCACCACAACCACCACCGCCGCCACCACCACAACAACCACAACAACCACCCGCTTCTCTTTTCGGCAGTGCGAGGAGGGGCCTGCTGCCCTGAGGCGCGTGATGATCTCCCCACCCCCCCAACTCCACCACCTATTGCGCCAAATCTTGACGGGCAAATAAATAAAGACAACCATCACCGTTCTTATGGGGAATCTTTGCGCGTACACACTCCGCTGGTAACGGATGCATTGCCGGGCATTTGTTACTCGGAAACCAATTTCTGAGACGAACACTGGGAGGGGAGTGTCGTGGGTGCAGGGTAGGGGCGAAGGCGGAGTGGAGGGGGAAGCGTGTGGGGGGGGGGAAGGGGGTCTCAAGGCCGCTTGTTAGCCGGAGTTACAGACCCTGCAGCCCAGAGATGCTCCGTTGCCTCTGAAAACACTTATAGCAGATGCAGCTGATACAGTATCGATTTGACAGTCGGTGTGGGGGGGAGCGGGGGGATTGGGAAACGCGGCAAGGTGGGCCGCTCTGGCTGAATAAATGTTGAACGGGTTAATGGTCTTGGCCCAGGGGGGGGGGGTGGTGTTCTTCCTCGCCTTCAAATCCACGGCTCGTCGGCCTCGAGAAGAAAATCGCGTTGCGGCGGATCTGTTGCGGCGCTGGCGGAAGGCCCCCCCCCCCCCCGTCGCTTTCCGTCCTCTCCGTGCGCGGCGGTGCCCCCCCCCGTGGTTACCGCCGCGGTTCTATCACGGGGGGGGCGGACAAAGCAGCCACCGCAGTGCAGAGGTCGGCCGGTTTGGCTCGGATGGAAACAACGGTGGGGAGCCAGTCAAATTCCATCCCCCCCTCCCCGCTCAATAACAAGACAACCGCCATTCACCACTAAGGGACGTCACCACGGCGCCTGTGCCAGGCCAGGTGCACAAGGTGGCCACGTGAAGAGTGTCGCAGGCTCGCTCGCGGGAGGTCACGACGGGACAGACCCAGCAGGTGCCATGGGTCGAATGACTGAGATGACCGGCAGATGTGCCAGTTGTTCTCCCCCGCCGTATCAACTTGTTGCGTTTTAGCAGCCCGGCGCTCCGCTCGTTGTTGTGAGAGTCGCTCCTCTGCCCCCCGTTGTTGTTGGAGGGTGACTGCCTCCAACTGACCAGTAGCATCCTTCACGAGCCTCTGCCACGGAGGCCGATCTTGACACTGCTGGTACCGATCTTTGGCAAGTTATCTCAGCTCCACATCTTCCCGTACCGCATCTCCCCACCCACAACCACACACCGCCTCTGTCCACCCAGGAGCAGTGGAATGGGTAAGACCATAGGTAACCAATCCGCAGGTGGGGTAAACTGTGGGTAGTCCAACCTCTTTACAATATCGCTGTGGAAGAGTAGGCCAAAAATACCTTCAAGATGGGGGGGAGCAGGGGGAGTGTGTAGATCTCTCCTCTTTCGCGGGGAGCCTCTTCCGGTTGCAGTCGCAGTGAGCAACGCAACCATCAGTGCTGCCCCTTGGCCACGTTTGTGACCGATCTGTAATCCCCTCGCGGGCGTTAATTAAACACGGCCCGTGTGTGCGCCGTGGTGGTGGGGGGGGCGGCTGTGGTCAAACGGAGGCGCCGATATCCTGTGACGGGCTACTAGGCTTCATTATAAAGGAACCTCGTGTAGCAATAAACGAGGCTACAGTGAATAATCAATCCCGTTTCGGCGTTCTTTACGGCCCGATGAGACGAGATTGAGACGCGCAATTGGTTCTCTCCACGGACGCGCGGGGTAGTAGCTGTGCAAATAAAATAAATTGCCTTCTTTCTTTGTTGTCGCCATATTAATCTGAGGATAATTTTTTTCAACGTGGGCTCTTATTTCGTCAGCGTTAATGCCCCTCGTTCTTTTTCATAAATCAAATTAGCATATCCTCGCCCCCCCCCCACCACCACCATACAAATAAGCAAATTGTTGTTATTATCGTTTTCTCAGATGTCTTGTTGTTTGTTTCAGAGATAATTGAGCTCTGTAATATGGGCTATAAAATAAGCACGCACTGGCCAACACTTTCTGGATGGTGTCAAAGGATTTCACAGCGTGGCGCAAGATTTAGTAAGCTGGTAAATCTTATGTAACCGTTATAGCTACAAAAGCAGATCGCTGCCGCAGTGGTGTGAAGGGTTAGCAGACTGGAATTGCAATGCAGAGGTCGCCAATTTGATTCCATCGGACAAGTTCACTTAAAACCCGCCACACCGCACACTGGTCATCCTCGCAGCGGCTTTTGGCTAACCGTCGAACTAAGGTGGTCACTGCATCGCGCGGCGCTTTCAGAGATGCGCTTCTGCAGCCGTCTGGAACGCTCTTTCTTCCGATATTAGGAAGCCGCTGGGAGCTGTGCACTTTCAAATCTCGATTGAAAACTCATTTCTTTAGAACCGCTTTTTGTGTTTAGTTTCTTGTCCTTCCCACGCACCTCCGATTAGCACGGTTGGCTACGTACGGTGCGACAGAACCTCAGCATGCATGGCATGCATGCTGAGTACTTGTGCATGCATGTACGTACTTGTGCATGCATTGCATGCACAAGTACGTACAATTTGGGTACACCACAGTGAAGCCAATCGGCAGGTCACGTCGCGTGGCTGGCGGGGTAAAGTGCGGGGTAGTCCAACGCCTCTCGAGCAAGGGAATTGCAGGGCCCGCGCCTCTACCTCTGCCTATTTTTAAATCCGCGAGACCGAGAGCGTTGGATGATGCACAATCCGAGCCCATCGGCGGTGTCCCCGGGCTGCCCAGGCCGCCATACAGAAGGTCGATACTATATGCAGGGTGTCTCTAAAAACAAAAGCCGCCTGTCCCCTAATGAATAGCCTCTTGGCTGTATATTGATATTTTCCACAACAGGCAGGGTTCTTGTGCTTCTTCAAGGCGCCTGCGTGCACCTAAATTGCGGGGAAACATTGCACACAGCGTGAGAGACAAACAGGTGAAGAACACGAGCAGGTGACGAATACGTACAGGTGACGAACTGGTAAAGGTAACGAACAAGAACAGGTGACGAACAGGAACAAGTGATGAACTGGTAAAGGTGACGAACAGGAACAGGTGACGAACAGGAACAGATGATGAACGGGAACAGGTGACGAACAGGACCAGGTGATGAACGGGAACAGGTGACGAACTGGTAAAGGTGACGAACGGGAACAAGGGACGAACAGGAACAGGTGACGAACAGGAACAGGTGATGAACGGGAACAGGGGACGAATAGGAACAGGTGACGAACAGGAACAGGTGACGAACTGGTAAAGGTGCTGAACGGGAACAAGGGACGAACAGGAATAGGTGACGAACGGGAACAGGTGACGAACAGGTAAAGGTGATGAACGGGAACAGGTGACGAACAGGAACAGGTGACGAACTGGTAAAGGTGACGAACTGGTAAAAGTGACGAACAGGAACAGGTGACGAACAGGTAAAGGTGCAGCCTTGCAACTGCTTTGCTCTCAAACACCTGCGGAAGGTACCTCCAGGAGAGGGAGTTCTAGAGAGACCCTCCAGATAGGGGGTGTCTACAGTTCGATGCTCTACGAATTATCCAGGTGACACACGCAAAATAATAATGCCACATACAAACAAGGAAGTCTATAAATAAATAGATTCAGCATCGGATCGCGTTGCGTTGAAAAGTGTAGAGAGAGGAGATATTGAGAGTGCTGTTTTGGCCTACTCTTCCACGCTAGCCAGATGGTTTTTGTGGAAGGGGTGGGAGTACCCACACTTTACCCCGCCACATACGACCTGCATATGGACTGTGGCGTCACCCATTTACATTTCAAACAATGAATATGAAATTAACAATAATCGAGACAATAAATCAGTTATTGCCCCATTAAATGCTTTTGTCATTTCGGTTTCAACGTCGTATGTAAGTGCATATTTACCCACACATACATTTTGCCAAATCACTACAGAATGTCCAATTAATGCAGATTTGTTTAAACAAAACTGATGACATTGACAAAACCCATTAGTGTCCCGTTCACATCTCGCCTACGGTTTCAACGTGTGTCATGCTGTCAGTGCGTTCACTTAAATGTTAATAAATGGATTTGATTATTTAACAAGTCTTCCCTAATTGGGGAGGAAACCGCACTCGGCCTGCATCACAGAATTAAACCTTCGCGATGTGAATTAGTAGCGATACTGCGATTAACATGGTTGGCGATGTGCGGTGCGAAAGAAGTTCAACATGCGTGCGTACGTAGAGAATGAGGACCAGACGGAGGGACAGCTTTGGACACAAGCGGGAGGCCACACCATTCACAATCCCGTGTTCCCGCCTCTGGAAACACGGGGCTTTATCCATTATTCAACGTGAACTCTCCACTTCATCACACGATTCAGCATGTTGATACAACAAAATCATTTGTTGACCTGCAACACGCGCGGGTGCGTGCGTGTGCGTGCGTGTGCGTCTGTGTGCGTGTGCGTCTTTGTGCGTGTGTTCGTTGGGGAGCGGTGGTGCGGTGGTTGGCACGCCAGAGTTCGATTACCGCTCATGGCCAATCATCGATGCTGATTATCTCAACCGGTCATGGGTCTCCTCTAGGTCGACTCAGCCTCACATGAGTACTTGGTGTGGTGTGAAAACATCGTCACTGGGGAGATGAAGGAGACCGGGTGTGGTGTTGTCTCGCCACTCTTCCTTGAGCGGCATGACTCTCTTAATTTACACTCGTTTGCAGAAATGTCCCCCAAGAATCTGTTGAATTATGTTCTGTATGTGGGATCTTTGTCTTTGTGCCTGTGGCATTATACGACAGCTTAAGTTCCATTCCCAGCCACGGCTGACATAAGTTGCAAGTACAATAATATCAGAACGTGTCGTGGACCTCCCCTTGATCCACTCGGCCTTACACGAATACTCTAACACCACTTTGCTCCAACTGCCCGTATGCCTATAGAAAGGGGGAGTGATATTTTATCTTCACCTTTGCATATCGTCTGCGCGACAGGACCTGCGGTGGTTCCAGCGCGCGCCGCCCTGCAGACTCCCATCGTGGTGGCCAAGGACCTCCCGGACGTGGCGCTGCCTTCCATGTGCTCCACCTGCACGCCCGAGTGCCAGATGTACGGCCACTCCGACAACTGCTGGATGCCGGCGGGCGGCGTCGGCGGAGAAGGGCCGGCCAAGTCGGGATCGCCGCTCTCCCCGCTCTCCTCCTATCCGCCGCCGCTGCACCGCCCCGAGTGGGACCGCCGTGACCTGGTGCCCAACGGTTCGGCGTTGTTCCACCACGGAGGTCCCAGCGGCGGCGTCGTCGGCGTCGGCGCTGGCGGGAGCGGCAACGGCGGCGGTGGCGGAGGGGGCGGCGATGCGGTCGGCGGCGTGGGAAAGCCGAGCAGCACAAGCAATCGGCAGGCCAACTCCTACTACAACGCCTTCTACAGCAACAACTACCGCAGGCACAACGACTTCCTCAACGAGGCAGAGGAAATCCCGCTCGCCCGGCCCCAAGCGTACCGACCGGCCACCATCAGCACCATGTCCAGCCCGGACTTCAACAAGGAGCTCTATTTGTAGCCAGCGTGAAATTTCCGGCCCGCCGACAACTTCATAAGCCGTCACCCCCGTCATGTGTCTCTCACTGCAAGCTTTAGGCAACTCGAGGTAGCTTTAGTTTTGTTTCCTCCCCCCCGCCGCCCCCACCCCTCACCCCACTCGCCGTCTCCACCACCTCGTTATTTTCAGATTTGTCCCCAGTTTTGTTTTCGTTCCGCTATAAACGATCGACGTAAAGTTTCCCACTTTTTTGTTCAGATGGGCCGGTCAATAGAGCAGTTGATGTGGTTTGTTATAGCTGTGGTTCACCAATGGCCCCGTGTTTTTCGGGGGTATTTTTTTTTTTAAGAAACAAAGCCGCCAATATTATTTGCTGCTGAAAGTCACATTCGGACAAGTTGGACGGATGATTCGCCAGGGTGAAGGTCGGCATTCAAACTGGCCAAATGAGAGTAGAGTCTGGTAAAAAAAAAAAGTTTTTATGGTCTTACCAACATTCCTACGATTTCAAGCAATCTCAAATCTCACGCATATTTTAGTTTGTTCTCACACGGAACAACTCGACCTGGAATTTATCCAAGTCGCCGTCCTGAACTACGTCTGGTAAAGACGACCTTTGTGGGTAGCTAAATGGCCGTTGTATAATCATGTCAAATATTGTGTGCAGACATCAAAAGCTTTTAGGCTCAGGTAGAAATTGAAACAGAAAACCCGCTTCTATATTTTATGTAACTAGAGCGTAGAGTTAAGCGCAAATAGAGAAATTAAAAAAACACATTGTGTACATTCTGTGACATCTACGATGGCGCCAGCCCAAATTTGAACCTGAAGGGGTTTTTACCTCTTTCGTTTCACTTCTGTTTTCGACGACAAGGTTTCGTTAACACGATGTTGTTTTTTCTTTGCCCAAATTACTCCTCCACCTTTAACCCTCACCCCCCACCCCCCACGACGTCGCGTACGAAACTCCACCGCTCAACGGAAGGTTTTTGAAGAAAATAAAAACGACGAAAAAAAAACTCAAAGCGAGACGAAAAGGAAAAAGAAAGAAACAACAACAACACAGACACCAAAGGATGAACTTGATTTTGACCAACAACAAGAAGCCGTTTGGCTAAAGATCAGCCTCCCCGCATTGGGCTGAACGCTGTGCCCTGACTGATGAAGCTGTGAGCAGACTGGCAGTGCCCCTCCTTGATGTCCACGTCGGTGGTGATTGTTATATATTTTTTGTTGGGTTCGGCGTTTTCTTCGCTCGCGCTATCTATCGTGGTATTTACGTATCGTAATACCTTGCCTGTACAGCCCTGTGTGTACGTGATGTATTCTGACACCACCTTGAAAACCCCACGAAAATCTGGAATTGTCTATTCTCCGTGTGGACACAATGCACATCGTATGTAAATAAGAACAAGAATAACAAGACGTTGAAACGTTGATAGGCTTTATATTAACTTTACCTTCAAAGTGGCACGCACCTATGCTTTAACATGATGTGTTGTCCTAATGCTCTGAACTTTGTTCCACGTCGCGCCTGTTTTTTTTTTTACTTTCACTCGTGTTCTTTTTCCCGTGCCTCGCCTAACCAACCCGGTGGCTCTGACGAGCAAGCGTCGTGTCGGAATGGTTGACAGGGCATTCAAAGTAGCGCCCTGGATGCTCGGCAAGGCGTCATCTCACCAGCTGGCGGGCCCTACTGTTGCCACTGCCACGCGCACATACGGAGTGGAACTTCGCGGCACGCTTTCATCGCCTTCCACGCGCCACCGTTTCACGCGAAACGATACAACTAAACACTCCGCTACGAGCGTCCGCATGCAGCGGCTTTACAATCAAATAAACATTGAGACGTGAATTTAATACGATATAAATATATATATCTATCCCGATAAAGAAATACGTACAAACAATTATGGGGAAAAATACATTATTTAAAGTTACTTTAATTTCTTATTATTGCTGTTGTTATTATTGTGATTTTTATTCGGCTTTGGAGAGAAAATAAGTCTCCAGTCGAAACCAAAACAGTGACAGAGTTTCAACTGGGCGAAGTTGAAGTGAGAATGCGGATTGTATGTATGTATGTATGTGGAACTTCTTTTGCACCGTACGTAGCCAACCATACTAATCGGAGGTGCGGAGTAAGGACAACAAATTAAACACACGCAACAAAAAAACCCCACCTCGAAATTGAAACCCGCAGGGGTTCCAACTCTGTTAAGTGAATCCCTTTCGGCAATGCAGAGTGGACGTGTTGTGGATGTGAGTGGCGGTGTTGGGGGGTTGGGGGGGGGGGCAGGGGGTGGCCTTAATTGGTCGCTCAACGACGAAGCTGTCGGGGTCAAGGAGGCTGATGAGGGGCAGGGCGGCAGTCGACCCCCAACGAAGCAACGGTTTCGCCAAGCGAGCGCCACGGCCGACTGCGCCGCGACTAACGCCCGAGCGTGACGCTTCTGCGGCTGCGGTTTGTCGACCCGGGCAAACTTTCCAGCCGGTTGGGGAGATACTGCGACCGGTAATTCGGCACTTGCGACGAATTAACGGCGCCGCGAGACTTCCCCGTCAACCGACGGCGTCGATCGTCGGCCGTGAAGACCCCGCGCCTCGTTTTTTTTCCTTCCGCGGGAGAGGTCAGAGTGCAAATCCGCGTCTCGCTCGGAGCGCTGTTTATGCCACCGCTTGTCGTGCGTGTCCGATAATCCACTCTGCCTTTTTTTTACTTTGAACGCCGTCCGCGCGAAGTTTCGGGCTATGCGAGAGCGCCCTTGCATTCGTGTTCCGTTCCCGAATTCTCACTTTGGTTCACGTTCGGCCGCGGTAAAACACCCTCCCAACCCACCCACCCCACCCTATCCGCCCCGCTCCACTCGGTCCGTGCGTGCCTACCGCACGTGGCAAGCGTGGGGGTTATCGCGCGCGATGAAGAGCCCAGCGGCCGTGCATCTTCCTATTGCCGTAACCTGTGTACAGCGAATGAAATACGACCATTGTTACCCCTCCGCAAGAGATAGCCTTTCGTTTCGCTTCCGTGTCTGACAACGCATTAGTTTATCGTGGTTTATACGGTGTTTCATTTCACTTACATTTTACGTTTTAAAACAACAACAACAACACAAGTACGGAACGCACGTACTTTGATTATCGTTTTTTTTTCTCTCTCGAAAACATAAGGCTTTCGCTTTGTTAGAAATGGTGTACAAACCGTGTATGTATATTACTGTGTAAAGTAACTGTGGAAAAAACATGATTTAAGGTAAATACAAAAGAGGTAAAACTGCTAACCAGCTGATCGCACTCACAATAAAGTTTTGTGGCATTTAGTTGGTACCACTTGTCCGTATCTGCTCTGTGATCACCCTGCCACTGTGGACTTGATTTCTCGCACTGATTATTACAATTCGCAGCACTTCCTCGATCCACTGCCGTATGAAGGCCTCCCCATGCTCTGTTAGTCACGGGGGAGTTGTTTGACCATGCTTTACCGCTCATGGTCATTGCGGGTTGGTGAAGGAGGGTGGCCCTGGACCTTTTCTTACATTAACATGGGACAACAATAATAATTCAAAGTTCCAGTATTTGGCAAAGAAAGCCGCAAAGTTCTTTATCAGGAGCGTCCTGCCATGCGTAAGTGTGTGGCTCGGTGTGGAAGTAAACTGTCGTTCCTGGAGCAAAGCCACGCTTAGAAGGGGGCAACGCAACCGAAGCTCTGCACCGATGGATTAAAGATTCCTTTCCTTTTACCACCATATCCTGGCCACCTCACAGACCCACTATCTGCAACACTTGGTAAACAACCGGAGGTCTCCCATGCGAGTGCTAACCAGGCTCCAGCCTGCTTAGCTTCTGAGACCTGACAAAATGGGCTGTGCGTACACGGAGAACCTTACTTCCGCTGTTTCACATTTCCTTTCTCCTCTTAGCACCTTTATGAAGCCCCTGCCTCCCTGTCACCTCCCCTTGGTGGCAACCCAGAGTGCGGGTACCTCGGCAGCCAGTTGACGGTCTACCCACGATGCTCGTCGTACAACTTGCATCGGATTCAGGAAATCGAATTTGAAGTGGGGAAAAAAAAAACATCTCTACAAAGGACCTCCGTTAAACCCTGATTCCCCCATACGAGGGAGGGGGGGGGGGGTGGTCTTCAATCAAACCACAACTACATCATATTAATAATACGAGCCTTAACATTTTTAAAAGGTCACTTTTGGCTGCGGATTTTCAAACGAATGTCAGCTCGGAGAAGAAAAAACCCGATGGGGATTTCGGTGATGTCGTGCTGCCGTGGCGGGCCTGCTTCGCGTCTCGTCACCGAGTGGCTCGGTTTCCACCTGGTGTGCCAATGCGTACCGCCACGTGTGCATGCTGTCCGACATGTCCGCCCTCCGATCTCATCGACAGGCCGACCTGCGTCCGTCTTCCGTTGACACAGATCCCCCGCTCGCCTGCACAATCTCGGGACTTTGGGCACAACAAATTAACCCGTAAAAACAAAGTTTTTCACTGTAAATCCTTTATATGCGTGGCATCGGTTTTATTTTATTATTCATTTCTGTTTTTCTTGAGTGAGAGTTTCATTTTTATCACATTGGTATTTTAAATTAAATATGAAAAAAAAATTCCCCTAAAAAGTGGAAAATTTTGAAAAAAAAATTCACGAAAATAAATTGTCACGCACAACGAGTCTGTGTGCAAAATGTCAGCTCGATTGGATCACGGGAAGTGGGTTAAAAAACGACCGAAAGATTTGCACGGTCGTAAGCGTGCAAGCAAGCAAGCAAGTGAACTTAATATAAATGATTTAACAAGTATAACCCGTAAAAACAAAGTTTTTCACTATAAATCCTTTATATGCGTGGCGGCTAGAGTCCTCTCGTCCTCTGGCTTGAGATGGTTGCCACCTATGGGTCAGATGATTGCATGGCACCATTAAGCAATCGGTAATTAAATATAATATTTTGTCCTAAAAAGTGTAAAATTTTGGAAAAAAAATTTGACGAACATTAATTGTCACGCACAACGAGTCTGTGTGGAAAATGTCAGCTCGATTGGATTACGGGAAGTGGGTTAAAAAACGACCGAAAGATTTGCACGGTCGTAGGCAAGCAAGCCAGCAAGCACGCAAGCAAGCAAGCAAGCGAACTTAATATAAAGGATTTAAAAAGACATCACATTGTGTCTGATCTGGAGCTCTCATTACTTTCACTACGATGCCCTTTTTTTCTCGTATTGTCTCTTGGATTCCTACAATCGAGAACTTCCTTCAACCAGTTCTCACCTCTGACAAATTTCCCAATCCACATGCTTTGATTGTTCTGGGTAATCGTCACACACAGCATCATCACATGACATCCTTGACTCAGAACTTCACCAAACGCACATCCTTTGCATTTTATGGTTTATAACCATGCGGCAGCATCATCACACACAGCATCATCACACGCAGCAGCATCATCATCGCTGACATCCTTCCAGAACTTCCTTCATTAGTATTTTTACCATTTGCGAACACGACAATCCCCCGGTGCAATTGTTTTTCATTCTCTGGATTATT